AGCTTAGCTTCTTGGCTATCGATAGCTTAGCTATCAGGCTATCAATAGCTTTGGCTATCGATAGCTTAGCTTCTTGGCTTTCGATAGATTTTGCTATCGATAGCTTAGCAATCAGGCTATCAATGGCTTAGCTTCTTGGCTTCTTAGCTTCTTGAACTGCCGGCCATTTAGTAATTTAAAGCCGGCAGTCTCGATCGGTGCATATTTTTTCTAAGTGTAACCTAAGAAATCATTCTACTAGTATGTACGGAGAAGGGCAAAAATGCTAATCTAATCTAAAATCTAGTGGGTGAAGTACGAGCGCTTGCTACTTCTAAATCATCATTTTGTAGTTTGAATTCCGTAGAATAGCATCTAATCGAGAAATCAGAGAAAATTATGAACTGCCGGCCATTTAGTAATTTGAAGACCCTGGCCGGCTGCCGGCCATCTAGACACAGCGTTGATACAGTCGACTCTCTTTGAACGACCACTCTCGTAAGCGACCATCTCCCATAAGCGACCGCGACCACCTTTGGGGTTAAAATTTTGGAAATTTTTATTGTTTTTCCTGTAAGCGACCACCCAAGAGCCAGTAATGGTGATGCTTCCTGTGTTAACTCTCGTAAGCGAYCATCTCCCGTGAGCGACCAMTTTCTCCTTGCCCCGAGGTGGTCGCTTACGGAAGAGTCGACTGTATATAGATATCCATTCCTAGTTTAATTCCTTAAATGATATATTTTGTGCATGCTCCGAATATTTTTAAAGGAAGTTTAAGTTCTTATCCCAAGAAAAAATGCTCTGAACAAAGCTAATTTCGGATCAGTCTTTTTGCAATGTACACGCCCCCGATGGGGTATAGAAGCGAACAACAARCGGAAGAAAACCCCTTAGCTCGGTTATTTTTAATAATAAGGTACTTACCAGCAGGGATAAGTGCAGCAAGAACGCAAAGTGTTACAATGAGGAGCTTCATCTTGGTTTAGTTCTGAACGAAGGTAATTAGAAAACAAACTTGAATCAAAACGAGTTGTTCTCAGGTTAGATGTTTTCCAAGAAAGACGCGACATTTTAGCGAAAGCAGTATATCAAGTAATCCATTCCCACGTGGTATAATGATGGGTATGGCTACACTTCTAAGAATAATACGTAATAATATCACTTTTGACCTCTTTTCAGTGCTTAAATTTGAGTTACACGACCACATGTATTTTTTTYCGGTATTTTCTGATTCATTGCACATCATGAGCCATCATTGTTTACGGATCAATTCTGAAAATATTGTGCAAAGGCTTATAAACACTTCAAAGAATTTCTCAGGAACATTTCGCCGCTTAGAGATATTAGATTTTGTCTTTATGAACAGAAAATCGACCGAAACATCAGATCGCCATTTTTAATATCAACACAGGAAACCCAAACACTATCCAAATCAAACCGTTCCCTCCCCCCACAGACACCAGTTATTAGTATCCTGTCCCAACYGGATTCATTATGGCTGCMCAGGATTGCTTGTTTTTCGGAGGAGTAGTAACAAATGAGGGTGGAAGACTGTATTGTAATTTTAATAACAAACATAAATCATAAACACAAATGTGCTTTTGTCGTCCACTTTCTATTGTGACTGAGCAGATCCCGGGGGGGGGGGGTACTCCCGTATATGGACTATACGGGGATAATCTGCTGAACAGGGTATGGTTTTACGAGCTTCTTGTCATAAACAGGGTATGCAATTTCACTCAAGGTCCAAAATCTTCCTGACTTTCTTGTCATATTCAGGATTTCTACTTTCGTAGACAGACAGACAGACAGACATATTTTATTTGGCGTTTTGTACAAAGTTGCACATCAACTTAGATCCAAATAAGTTACGAATATGTACGTATGTTTATGTATGTGCATAATATCTATATTCACATATTCTACACATACACGTCATACGTACATATATATTCTGTATATATAAATGTTCATATAATTATTTCGATAAAATGCGTTACTAATCCTAATCATCTTTATTCAATATCATACAAGTATTGATTTTTGTTTGTTTTTCGGTTGTATCGACCGAAACTGGTTACCATGGTCGTAAAAAAAAAAAACGATACGCGATATGACATGATAATTGAAACAGGAACTCAGTGCAATTAATTATATCTTTTGTCATAAACAGGGTCTACAAATTTGATTTTTTTTGTCATAAACAGGGTATCCCTTTCAGAATCCCAGCGGAACACCCCTACCCAAATTCTGGCGGAGTACCCCCCCTTTCCCCCCCCGGGGAGCAGATATCAAAAAGTAAGTGTGCTGAAACATAATTTAGGACTTTAATAAGCTACTATGCAGTATAGATACTGGGGGAAAAAACCATCTTGTAATTGTGTTATGGTCAACTGAAGTGCCTTACAGTGTATTGAAAAAAATCATATGAAAATTTCTTAAATTCAATTTTTGTTTTGAAAAGAATTAATAGATTTTGTGGAAGATTGTGTATGACTCGTGGTTTACTCGTGACTCGTACTTGACTGGGGCTCGAACTTGGCTCGCTCAACCGAACAMCTCATCGCAGGTAAGCCGGTAAAAATCTAGGTTACTGGTGCTTTCAAGGGCGCCAAGACAGACGGATTGGGTTTTAAATATGTGTGATTATTTCAGTTATTCATAGATTTCTAATTGAATTGATATATGTTTGTTTCTAAATGGATMCTAAATAGTGTTCACTTATCTTTCCATCCGACGGTCTTTCCGTACGCTCTGAGTATTTACCGCTGCACTATCTGTGTCAAGCAGCGCCGGCGTCGCTTCGTTAGCGATTACTCTCCTTTAATAAGTTATTCAAATTCACCTTCAGTACAGTAAAGGTCTATTTTACCGTACTGAAGGTAAATCTGACTAACTTATTGAAGGAGAGAAATCGCGCCCTTGGTGCTTTAGCTTTTTTGAGGGTTTTATTCCCAATATTCCTTGAAAGACAGGAAATGACGTCATGGCTTCAAGGTTCAGTGGCTTTGTTGGCGTGCCCAACTTTTGCATTCCTGTCTTCCAAAGTGAAAGTATATTCATCGCTCTTCTCGATGAATTTAAGGTAAGAAAAACGTCTTGTTTTTTTATCGATCAATAAAGAAAACTATCTAGTCGTATTGCTTAAATCTCTTAGTATTCTTTTCGTAAATCAAAGTAAATTAATCCGTATTTKTGGGAAGCTTTTGAAAACTTGTTTACGAAGCACTTCGAAGATTGAACGCCCTTCATGCATATTTCCTCTGATATGTCTTATGATTTTCTGGCTGCATATATAACTAGATCACTAAAACTTCTCAAAAAAGGGTTTTTATTTCCTGTTAATGATGCTTCTACCTTGATTCTAGGGTTATTTAGTTTTCATCCTCCAAAAAACCCAACACGTTGAATAATTTACTCAATACCAATGTGTGGAGTCAGCCGTGCACTGACTAAGGTCAACTCAGATATTTTTGGATTGAAGATTTTGAAGGGTTTTATTACACACTTTAAAATTAAAAAATAGTTATTTTTGGGGTACATAATGATGAAGAGTAACTTCAGTTCGATATTCTAACAGTTGTCGACTACAGCTGTACAAAAGCTTGAACCAAACTCGATAAACATACTCGATGAAACGTGATATAGCTTTATAGCACGAGTAATATAATGCTCAAATGTTCTTATTGTCCTCTTATAAACCAGTAACCCTTCGATTTTATCAAACCCTGGAAAAAATCCTGTGCTGAACTAAGTCAGGGCACATCTAACTTTAAGATTGAACCTTATTTATTAAATCATAAATTTCTTTCACAGTAAGCCTAAACACAAATAAAGTGGAATCAAAAGCAACATGTAAAAAGATTTTAAAAAAATGAATACATAAATAAAAAATAAAAAAAATAGAATATATAAACTGATCTTAGTCAGCTCAGATTGAACCTGGAAACAACCTCTGGGCTGAT